AAATGCCTCAGTTGGGTTACATTATTCCATACACTTGCAAAAGTGATTGCAAATGTAACTTGTATACTCATATACTGAGTCTCACCAATTTCTCCATCTTGTCCAGGCTTAGGAATGCTAATAGAAGTTTTGGTCTCCATTTCTATTTTCTTCTTAGTGTCTCCTCTCTTTCCAACTATATGCCTATAATATAAAGAAAAATTATCAGAAGGAGATTAAGTCAAAATGTACCAAAATAAAGAATCTCATCATGTTTCAATCCTTTGTGGCCACAGATACTCCCTTACATAAAAGTACTTCGGCAAAAGCTCGATATTTGTAAAGGAAATTACAAGTCATCTAGCTTTATCAAACATGCTGCTTTACACTCATTGACAAAATGATGTCCTATAGCCAATTCAAAGTATAGATAGAATAACCATGCCCAACACTTATTTGCTTCTCGAAATTAGATTCAAAATTTGGGTCTGCAGTTCAGTGAAAGGAAAGCTGGCATAGACTCGAAGTGCACTTTCAGGAAGCAATGGGTCTACAATTTGAGGGAGAGAAACCTTGTCCATTTTGGAGAACAAATTAACTATGAATTCATCAAAAGGGAATTATTTTTGATTAATTAAACAATGGTAAACAACTTAGCAAAGAGCAGAGTTCACCATACAGGATAGATTCAAAAGCAGAGGGAGTAAACAGGTAACCCTCAGGCTGAATTCAGAACATAGACATATTTTGTTTGGGAGATTTCATCTAAAAATATATATCTGCAGGTTCTTTAGAAAAAAGTGAAGATCTGAAGACTCATGGCAACAATATGCAGGAGCCAGCTCTCAACTACCGCCTGAAGGTGGGACACGAGCTCATCACAATCCCCACTGTTGGGAATATATAGGAAAATGGTAGGGGCCCCTCAGATGTTCAGAATCTTGCTGAGCATTTGATGTAGATAAGCACATGTGCCCAGGTGTTCCTTGGCTATTGTCTAATGTAATTACGCATGTGCACCCAGGTGTCCTGGGTTATGGACTTAAGTATAAAGGATGAGTGGCTCTGATCATGGTGGCTCCCCAACCCCAGGATGCCCCCAGAGGGGTCCTGGGGAGGCCACTACTGCTGCTGGAGGCTGTTGCTGACAGTGCCCCCAGGAACTTCCGCAAGGCCACCACCACTGCCGGACCTGTAAGCTGCTGCTGCCATTGCTGAGGACTGAGCTTGTGTCATCTGCTAACGGCTCCCAGGATCTTTCCCAATTATCTAGCATGGGCCTGCATCTAAGGGGTCTGGGGACCCAGTCTGTACAATGGGTTTGAAGGGTCTTAGCCCTAACCCAGAAACTGGCATAGTCGTGTAGCCTTACACTCATCATTCCCCACTGTCTTTCATCTACCCTACTTCAATCTTATATTGGCTCACATTACCCGCCTGGGCCTCCTAGTGTAAGTAATTCTGACAATCCAAAGTTATCTTTTGGAACCTAAAGTAATTAGATGTTGTAAAGCTAAACAACTACGCCAGTTGTTGAGTAAGGCAAATCATAACTAAAGCCAAAATGTTTCATTATCTTAGTTATACTAAGTTTCCATTTGTATTGTCAGGGCTAGGGCTCAGGCCTTTCAAACCCTTTGTACGGACTGGGTCACCAGACCCCTCACACATAGGTCCGCACTAGATAATTGGGAAAGATCCCGGGAACCACTGGCAGACGACACGAGCTCAGTCCTCAGCAACAGCAGCAGCTGTAGTGGCCTCCCGAAGGATCCTGGGGGCACCGGCAACAACAGCCTTCAGCAGCAGTAGCGGCCTCCCCTAGGGCGTCCCGGGGGTTGAGGGGCAGAGCCACTCATCCTTTATACTTAAGTCATAACCCAGGACACCTGGGTGCACATGCGCAATTACATTAGACAATAGCCAAGGAACACCTGGGCGCACGTGCATATTTACATTAAATGCTCAGCAAGATTCTGAACATCTGAGGGGCCCTGACTATTTTCCTATATTTTCTCAACAGATGTTTTAAACTGAATGAGACTACTGGATCCCAAGAGAGAAGTTTCAGAGTTTATAAAGCATCATCAAAGGACTATAAAGGAGAAAGAACTTGCTGTCATCAACATTATTTCACCTTCTATGATTTCAATTACAGTACCCAATACCATAGGTGACTATATCTAAAACTATTGTTTTAACATGGGATAACCAAGCCCAACTATTTCCATTAAAATCTACTATAGTAAGCCAGTTTTTAAAAAACAAGTTTCCCCAAACCTGCCAGCCGACAAAACAAACAAAAAACAAGATGTTTAGAAGTGGATTGGAACTCTATAATCACCATGAGGTTTTCTTCTGTTAGGCTGGAGATCATATTTCACCAATTCTATCATGCCTTTGTCTTCCCAGGCCTTATCAATTAGGGGTGCTTTCAATTAGGCTCCTGTTGGTTGGTATGTGGCTAGATGTACAGCTAGGGGCAATTGTTGGAATCCTGCCAACGTAGCCAATTGTCTTGCTAGGACTCACAAACCCTTCAAACCCATTGTATAGACTGGGTCACAGACCTCTCATAAGTTAGGCTGGGTCACTAGACCCCTCACATACAGGTCCACAAGCTAGGTAATTGGGAAGATCCCAGGAGCAAGTGGCAGACGACACAGGGCCAGTCCTCAGCTTCCTCAGCAGTGGCAGTGGCCTCCTGGAGGGTCCTGGGGGCTCTGGCAGCAACAGCTTGCAGCAACAGCCTCCAGAAGCAGTAGAAGCTGGGCTGGCCCGGTGGCGCACTGCTACAGTGCGCTGCTTGGGAGCGTGGCGGCGCTCCCGCCGAGGGTTCGGATCCCACATACAGACCGGTTCCCGCTCACTGGCTGAGCGAGGTGAGGGCGCAGCACCGAGGGTTGCAATCCCGTTGCCGGTCCCGGCCCGGTACGGGCGCGACACTGAGGGTTGCAATCTGTTGCCGGACACAAAAAAAGGAAAAGAAAAAAAAAAAAAGAAGCAGTAGTAGCTTCCCTGTGGGCCCCCCCAGGGGGCAAGGGGGGGGGCCCTGTGGATCTGAGCCACTAGTCCTTTATACATAAGTCCGATAACGCAGGAACACCTGGATGGAGTCAGACAAGTGCAGGGGCACATGTGCAATTACATTAGACAATAACCAAGGACCACCTGGGTGCACACGCGTATTTACATTAAATGCTTGGCGAGACTCGGAACTTCCGAGGGACCCTGACCATTTATCTTCACTTTCCCTATACTAGTGGACAAGCTTATTCAAAAAATAGTTACCTCAAAATGTTATTAATGGGCCGGCCCGGTGGCGCACTGCTATAGTGCGCCACTTGGGAAGCGCGGCGGCGCTCCCGCCGAGGGTTCGGATCCCACATACAGACCGGTTCCCGCTCACTGGCTGAGCGAGGCGCGGGAGCAAAACCGAGGGCTGCGATCCCGTTGCCGGTCCCGGTACGGGGGCGACACTGAGGGTTGCGATCCGTTGCCGGACACAGAAAAAGACAAAAAAAAAAAAAATGTTATTAATGGTCTAGGCTTCAGCACCTTAGAAAGTGAAGTGGTTGAGGTTAAAAGGCTCTAGAATCAAAACTTGGGCAAGTCTCTTATCCACTCTAACCCTATTTCCTCACTAATAAAAATAGAGTGAATAATACCTATGCATCATAAAGTTGCTGTAAGGATTAAACATGATCATAAATGAAAGAGCTTCCCAGTGACTAGCACAGAGCTCCCTATATAGTCCATGCTACCTTCATTAGGCCCATAATGGCATCCTTCCAGTTAAAAATACAGCCAGACTCAAAAGAGGTTTACATGGAAAGTCTAAAGTATTCACTACAATAATACAGATAAGCAGTGAAAGGATAACTGCTTGGCTGAATACGTAAGTGGAAATTCCTACCAGATCAAGGGGTTCTCAATCTTGGCTACACACTTAGAATCACCTAGAGGCTTCAAATACTAATGCCGTCTGGGTCCCGCTCCCACAGGTTCTGACTGAATTAATCTGGGGTGCACCCAGGCACTGGGATTTTTTTAAATCTCCCCAGGTGATTCTAATATGCACCAGAGGCTGAGAACTATAGCATTAGACTATCTCATGGATAGGTGTTGCCAATATTAGCTTTGACTATAAGTTAGTTTGGCCAGGTAATTTCTTCCTTGATCCAAATAAGCCTCCAGATATGATTCACAAGAAAGAGATCTTCCTAGTAAATATTGTCTATTAGTTAGGATTTAGCAAAGCCAATGCCTAATCTAACATGTGAGTCACCTGGTACATAATGAGTACTTAGAATATACAGAATTCAAAAGATCGAGATAAAATCAGATATCTAAGGAATTTTTACAGAGCAGTAGCAGATATACATATTAAGACATGTTACATTGATTTTTATCAGGAAACTGAGCCACAACTTTCTAAAATCATGTTTCCTAGGAAAAAATGTCACTAGAGCCTGTGAAGAAAGTCAGTTACCAGGGTTGACATTTGGTTTCCCAACTGGCCACATTACAGAATTTTATCCTTAATAGGTGTTTCAGAATGCTCTCATGGTTGATGAAAATGAAACTATTTGCCTCTTGGAGCTTAAAGGCATATGATTCCATATTTGTAGATCTCCCATAGATTTGCTTGGACAGACCTCATTCATCTTTGAAAAAAAGATCATTCCACCCAAAATGTGAAGAACTGACTGGGAGGAGAGCAAGAATGAATGTGGGGAGACCAGTAAGTAGGCTATTTTAAGTAATCCACAGGAAAGCAGTGAAGATAGAGATAAGTGGTGGATTCAAAAGGTATTTAAGAGGCAAAATCAATAGGACTTGATGATACATGTGGAATGATGAAATTAATCTGTAATCAGTCCTTTGAAATTTTAGGATGTAAAACACTAAACTATTTTATCATTAGAAATCAAGCATCACAATAAGTGTGGAAGACAGAAGAGTCGGTTTCCTGCTGAGTTTCCTGGCGGTGCTTCCTTGTGAAGCTGCTGGGAACCTCACTCACTTGTAGAGCAGGCTGGGGGCCATCACAGTAGACCGGCATCACAATAAGTGTGGAAGACAGAAGAGTCGGTTTCCTGCTGAGTTTCCTGGCGGTGCTTCCCTGTGAAGCTGCTGGGAACCTCACTCACTTGTAGAGCAGGCTGGGGGCCATCACAGTAGACCGGAATCCTTGTGGGGTCTGCTCCACCTCGTAGGCATCACAGGGCTCATCAGCACACTCCATAGAGCCTGCACAGAGATCATAACATCTTCCTCAGAAATGCTGCTGTTCTGTGGACAACACTTTTGGGGTTTAAAAAGCAATTCTCAGGCTGGCCGGTTAGCTCAGTTGGTTAGAGTGTTGTGCTGATAACACCAAGGTCCAAGGTGAGATCCCTGTACCAGCCAGCCGCCAAGACAAACAAACAAAAAAAGCAATACACAGGCACAAAGAACAGCCCAACACTTTACACTGCAGAACACTGCTCTAATATTCCTTCTAACCCGCTCTTAGAAGAAATAAAGCATAAAAAAATACTAATAATTATTTCAAATACTTCAGTCTCAGAACCCTGGGAAAGCATATACATACCAGTATTAACTGTTTTCTCTTAGAAAACTAAGACAAAAAAATTTTACTATTTTTTTTTACTGAGATATAATTCATATAAAATTCACCCTTTTAGAGTATACAATTCAGCTGTTTTTAGTATTAAGACACAAAATTACTTCAGTAAATGATGTAGGAGTGATACTGGGAGAACTTATTCCATACAGCCTGGACAAAGAGAAGGTAGGAGGCTGCAGTAAAGGAGCTTAAGGCCCCAAGGCTGTAAGGAAACAATGAGGAGGATCAGAGGGAAGATTAACCTCCAAGACTTAGGGTCCAATGGAAATGCTTATAAACCAAAAGGAAAAAGTAGCTGAGAACTTGCAAGGCCCCGTTTATGCATTAAACCCAAGCCAAAGTTAATTAAAATGAAAATATGCATAATCCTTCTCAACTGTTTGGTTTATTTCTTAAAATTATCCCTACATTATAATAAAGCGTATTTGGAACTGCCTATATATAACTGCAAAGAAGAAAAAAATAATAATGGCTAACATAATTGGGCACTGAACTAAATACATATGTTCATTTGTTTCAATAATTTATATATATTACTTCGCAACTTTACAGATAAAGAAATTAACTTTGCCACAGAATATAAATGGTTACTATTATAGTTAACCAAAATTACCCCTCATGACATTTAATACTCTGTACAAAGATGAAACATAATTGATTTATGAACTGCAACCAAGAATGTCTCAGTCAAATTCAAACTCAATTCCATTTATGCTGATGTCTAAGGGTGCTGATAAGTGAGGACAAACATCTCAAATCTCAGTGCAGACACAGAAACACGTTGAAACAAAACAAAGAACTGCTCCTACAATACACAGGCCATTTTACTTCTAATTTGATCCAAGAGCAACTAGGATTACCCTGATAGAAGTCCTCATCCTCTTCATGTTGATAAGTCTGTTCTTGGATGGGATTCTTCCTGTAATTCCGACCATCAATTCTTATAAGCTGTGGGCGCAGAACTTCCATGACACTTTCTCCAAATAATACTCCAGTGAAGTCCTGAAAAATAAATTATCATCTTACCTTTTGTTGTAATCAGAAATAAAAACTCTTTCTGTTGTACGGATCATTATGTAGGCCGGAAAGGATATAATTGGGCATCAGTTCACAGGATATCTTAAGCAAAAAAAGCACTGTTTCCCACTGGATTTCCCATCAGCTGTTTTAGGTCAGTTTCTGCATTTTCCACCATACTGTTCCTTTTGTGGCTCACTCTAGACAGCAAAGTGATTTGTAAATTCTTTATCGCACCAAAAAGGTGATTAAAAGGCCTTTATATATAGCCTGTCCATGATTTTGAAAGAGAGAATAACAGTCTCTTTAATACTTTAACCTAAAGGGAGTAAAATGCAGCCTTCAAAGTTCATCTAACCATTTGCAAGTGTCTCATCGTTTCTACCCAACATAATTACACTGGGGGGTGGGGTGGGGTGGTTAAGTACTTGTATAGGTGCTAGAAATATATACCCAACAATCAGAGCCAGTTGCCTGGTCAAAGCGCAGTTAAAATATGACTTAGTAACTCATATGGTTCTCAGACCAACATATTGCTGAGGGGAGAAACCCAATGTCCAACAACCTGTACATCATTTACTGAGAAGCCAAGCTTCTTGTCACCACTAAATGAATCAATAATTTAGGAAACAATATTCCTTGTGGGCCAGCTGTGGTGCAGTTCACCTAAGTTCCTACCACATACAGGTTGGATAATCTTGAAGACCAAGATAATTAAGCGTTCCAAAGAAAACAGACCAATCCTTGCTAAACACACTAATGCTCAGTCCAATCCTCAGCAAGTCACTTTGATAGTTTGCTTACAGAACCAAGGTTTCATGTTGTGAGAAATAACACGGACGGTACATCAACTTGGATGGACGACGAGGGGACATATTAGTGGTAGTCTAACGACATTACACCCTAGTGCCCTATTCCCCTAGGACTTCTCAAAAAGAAAAAAGTTCTCCACAAACGTATACTTGGGCCCTGAGACCACGAGCTTTGGAAGAAAAGGTAGTTGTCTCAGAGACGACAAACTCAAGTATCTACCTTTCCCTTTACAGCCCTGGATTACGAGACGGCTCAGAAGGAAGACAGGGGGAATAACCAACTTAACTCTGCTCCGTGGTGGTGTGAACAGGGAGAGGAAAGCAGAATCTCTGCGATATCGTGAGGGAAGCTGAAGCCCAGAATCGCAAAAGCGAGCAAAACATGAGTACGCTAAAGCGAATGAAGAGGACTCCGCCGCTACAGGAAAGCGAAGGCAGGCCGAGACCCTGAGGACCCCAGGGCCTCTCCGACCGCGCGTGCTCCGCTCCGCGCGTCTCCGCCCCGGCCACGCCCGCCGCCGCGAGCTCCCTCTGCGCGGGCGCGAGCACGCCGCCGTCCTTGCCGTTGTGAGCGCGGCCGCTCCGGCTGGCCCTGGGGGCGGGGCTGCAAGGGAAAGTGCCAAAGCCGCTGAGGTAAGTCGCCGAGGGCTCAAGGACTTCGGGAGCTTGGCGGAAAGGGAGTTGACCCCTGGGAGCCTACCTGCAGGGACTAGGAAAATGGAGAACGTAGGGGCCTGCGGCAGCTGCCTGGTAGGAGGCAATTTCGTCAGGCCGCAGCGGACTCAGTGCGCATGCGGGCTGGGGATGGCGCCTGCGCAGTGGGTCGGCGCTGATGGCGTCGCTTCCTTGGGACCTAGCGGAGTGGGAAATGTGACTTGGCGTTAGCTTGAGAGCTGCTGGTGTTCTGACTCCTCCTTTCCCTTCTCCAGCCCCTTTTCCCACCTTACCTGATTTTAGCTGCAGCATCTATTTGATTTGGGTTGTCATCCAGCTGTTTTACGTGGAGAGAGTTGTTAACGATGGAATTTAATAATTGCTTGTAGTAATTTGCCTTTATACTGGAGTAGGAACTTCCTTCAGCGTCTGGATTTTTTGATGACACTTTTTTTTTTTAAAGAAGGGACTCTTTTTAAGAAAATAGATATCTGCTAAAAGGGAAGGTGGTTGATGAATGCCAGATCATACCTGTCGTAAAAGTAAATGTTTATCTTGTCATTGCGGACGCAGCAACCTGTGTCCCCCGAAATGTCATCGCTTTTCTGTCAGGCTCTCTACTGCCAGTAGCCCCAGCTTCCTTGATAGAGCCAAGTCCTATCATACTTCATCATCAACATTTATTCAGAATTTTTTTTTTTTTTTTTTTGGACCGGTGAGGGGATCGCAGCCCTCGGCACGGTGTG